ATTTTGAATACACTCGGCTACTGCAAAAGTCCAAAGAAATTTCTGCGAAATTATTTAAGCAACACCTTCAGGTAATAAATCATTATATATGAAATAATTACTTGTAGGTGGAACGTAAGATTCCGGCCGAGTAACAAGCGGCTGTGGTTTGCTACACATGATAGCTTCCATGACAGCATCAACTTCTTCGTCTGAATCAACAACCCCATCGTCTTTTTCATCGACTTCTACAATGCTTCCGTCTTTCTTGCTATTTTCTGGTTTATTGTCTGGCACGCCATTATCTTCATTAAAATAGAACCGATTAATAAAGTTGATACTAATGTATATAACCACTAACTTATTATTTACTTTGTGGGCGACCAATTGACTTCTTTGGATACTGGGAGAGCAATGTGTTAAATGGTTGTGAACGACCCTGAACTGCTCGTTTCAAGGCCATAGAATGACTTTTACAAGTCAATGAACGTGAACACTGCATACCGGTATGTTCAACTACCCCACATTGTTTATCCAAGTCAATGGGACCTATTAATGTTAAATGTCAAGAATGAATCAATAAATATAGTTTGAATTATTTCTATTCAGAAACAAGTTATTAATTACCTTTGTTTCGTTTGGTTAATTTGGACTTCTTTTCTTTTTCTTTCTTAATTTTTTGTTTTTTTACGGGCGATGATCTCGTATCCGATGCTGACATAGAAACTTTGGTCAATATTGTTCGCTCTATCAATTCGGCTATTGAGATTACCATAAGACAATGATTATTTATTCTTATTATTCAAAAACGAAATGCAGTGCGAAAAAAGTAAAACACACCCTCAGAAGTAACGGATCGTTTACGTTTTTTATTTGGAACATATGCGTTTGCTATGCTTTCTATGTTTTTCATGTTTTTATTTACAGGTATTTCATCTACATGCATTTTCTTTGTGGATATCGAGAACTTCGCCTTTATCTTCTCACAATTTTCTGAATTGGGAAATAAGTGCGTTAATTACAAAGAAACAATTTAACTAACAAATCGGATTTTATTGTATGTAAAAAGAAAAAAAAAATGAAGCGCACAAAATACCAGTATGCTCTACAAAACCACTAGCGAATAGTTTTTTCAAACATGAATTACATTGTATTACTCCAGATTCTTCTCTCGCGGGTTTGCACCCGTAAGTCTTCATATGTAAAAATGTTAAGGATTGTAAAAGAAATGTATTGTGACAAATCGTATCGTATAATTAAAGGATATCATCATATTTGAATCTAGACACTGCTGATGGCGGGACGTTGACTTCTTGAGAAGTTAACACAACGTCCTCTTCGTACTCGTCTGTGGAATATGATATGCGCGAACAAAAGAAGA